TTGAAACCCAGTATGGGATTCTGAGATACATTACCAAGGATATTATTACAAGATAAATCATTTGCTTCATTGAACACATACAACAATGCATATTTCCACTGAGATCAGTGACCTTTGATGTGTATCACCAGTGATCAGTCAAGTAGAAACAGTCAAAATATTTTATGAGATTTTCTCAATTTTTGCATGATATTTTCATACAGGACATCTGTTGTTCAAACTCAGGGAAGATTTTATACTGATGAATAAGGTGACTAAGTTTGATGAAGTTTGGAATAGAATTAGTAAAGTTATTATGCACACAATAACAATTATTAACGACGACAACGACGACGACAACGACGACGACAACGACGACGACAACAACGACGACAACGACAACAACAACAACGACAACGCCGGACAAAATTTTTCCCTTAATATACCTTTCCCTTCCATCTTTGATGGTACGGGCAAGGTAAAAATCTGAAAAAGAAATGGTACGTGATGGTAAAAAACGAACTCCGAAAATATGAAAATATTATGCTATAGCCAAAGTTAATTTGCTTAGGCAGAATGGTGTGCAAATTTTCAAAACTGTATCAATTCAGGAATCGGAAATTGCAGTGGTAACGTTTTTTTTATGGAATTTGTGATTTATTGAGTGAAAGATCAAAGGCTGTGAGCAGTTTCAGGGTGGGGCACTTGCAGTAGAGAAAATTTGTTCACAGGAATTGTCTTGGTATAGTTATAGAAGCATTATATTTCTTGACTCACCATTTGTTCTCTGTTAAAGTTTCCTTCAAGTATCTTTTCATAACTGATACCAATTGGTACAATGTATGCATCACTTATAGTACCTAGCACAAAACACAACAACAATGGTATCACATTAATTCCTGTGAAATTACATACACAGACACAATTTTGTTTTATCAGTAATTTAATTATCCTGCATATCTGACTTTTTATAACATAAATTCAATATAATTATAACTTTTCTCTCTTTGTTCACCCACATCGAGCTGTTGATGAGCAAATAAATATGAATAGTAATCTCACCATCCATATATGCATCTACCACAACAGACAACAATCCTCCTTTTGGCATCAAAGCTTTTCCACTTCTTGATCTACCTCCCTCTGAAATAAAAGAATCCATCATAATTATATCATTATAAAAGAGTTTAAAGAGGATTGCAAAGTGTGGTGCATGTTGCTTATACTGACAGCATGTCATACGTACTATCACATCAATTTACCAAGCTAGTCTACAACACCCAAAGCTAAGTCTATATACTCTAACAAGTTTAACTTTTTGTGTAAATCATAAAATTTAATCCATACAAATGTTTTTCACGTGTATTTTGTTGTTGGCGTATTTTTGTTTGTTGCACAGCTAGATATCTCATTTTGATTCATATTTAGCCAAGCAAGTACTAATAATGGGGAACAACCGGACCATACAAATCTTTTGTATTTCTTATATGTTAATTTATTTGTTACTCAATTAAACAGGCAAATAACCCAAAGACACTACAGGCTAAAGAATGTTTCAAGCTCAAATAATTATATTACTTACCAATGAAAAACTCTAATGACTGGTTTTGCTTGAGTACTTCTAACATATACTGAAAACAACCACAAGAAGTCAGCTAATTAATACACTATTACCACAGTAATCCTGGACAAAAGTCTAATTGGATGTGGACCATTAAAAACTGAGGGTAGAAATATTTTTGTTTTCCCTTCACTTTTCCTTTTCCAATCCCTTGAGTTTCAAGAAAGAAACACAATGCATATTCAGGAAATAGTTTGTCTGTCCATTTCATTTAAATATACTACTAACACCCACCCTGCAAACATTTTAGCACAACACCCTCTAGTAGCAGAATTCAAAACAATATCAATGAAATCTATAGGTTTTTTTTACAAGTTGACATACCCTTTAATATCTAGTGATTGTAATGATAGAATGGAAAACACTCTACTTCCAAAATTAAGTATTAAAATAATGTACTCACATTATGAAGTATTGCTCGGTACACCCAGTCTTTCTTGCCATCTTCTTTGTCCAGTTTCCTCTTGATAAAGAAACCCCCTAGGTGTCTCAAAATCCAACCAAAGATGGGTATATTGAGATTGTCACCAGCTGCCACATGGGGAGACTTAATGTCATACTGATGTAGTATATATGTAATTAATATATAATCTAAGTGACTTCTATGTATTGGTAGGAAAATCAATGGAATATCTTTCTGTAACAGAAAATAAACAAACAACGACGTTAAAGTACCTAGTCTACATGGAGACATGATTCATCACAAATTATTGTTACAGCAGTTCTGAGATTTATTCAGACAGTCAGGTAGCAATATATCTTGGAACTTTTCAAAACACTTTGGTCTTTTCCAATCTAGAATTGATGGCACCGTTGTATTAGCACGCCCACAATTGGGATCATTCCATTTTCTTGCAAGATGCGGGTAAAACACTGTTTTTTTCAAAACGTCACACGTTGGTTACCATACATTAAGAGGTTATATGTTGTATATGCATCAAAGTGTTATCTTAAATTGTTATAACAATCCGAGTCCATCTGACATAACGTAATTTACAAAACAACTCCCGAGTGTTGAGTAACCCCAGGTATTAAAGTGTTTTGCAAAGTTGCAAGTCATTTTGCTAACTGACTGTCCGAATAATTCTAAGAACGGCTGTAATTGCTTATTTTCGCTGCTACAAACTTTCACAATCTGATTACCGTAATTTATTGCAACCATGAGGACAAAATTTTGTAGGAGTAACCGACACTCCATGTCGCATGACTCCTGAAAAATTGTCACGGATTTTCTTTGACACAAAACATTCAGGGAAATTTGTCACTTGTGAAATTAAAGCAGTTTATAGTATCTTCGGGGCAGACATCCGGGCATTTTCACCGCCTGGCAACTATCGCGGTGAAAACAAAGGCCAAAAACTCTCAGAAAACCGTACTTTGGGATGGTTGTTGAGACTCCCCTGAACAGTGTAACAAGCCTCGCGTGTGTTACATATACCGTATTACCCCGGGCACGCGCCCCTCCCTGGGCAAGCGCCCACCCCCTGTTTTCACAAAAGTTACATGTTGGGGACATCCTCGGTTAAACACCCAGGGTGATTTTTAGCCAAGAACGGGGTCAACAATAAAGTTTTATTTGTCAAAAACGAACGCATTCGATTTATTTAAATAGTGTGTTTGTTACGGTAGTTCTCTTTTTGGAGTGTGTGGTGGCCCTGAAAAGGGCCGCTTTGTTTGTGTTTTTACGTAAAAACTCATTGGAACTTAACGACGTAAGATGAACCACGCAGCATGTGGCGCACACGTTCTGCTTTCTCTTCATTCACGATGAATCCAATATTGCAATATTGCAACGATCCATACCTTGGTGAGTGGTTTGAAGCACTTAGCTTTGGTTTCAAAACGTAGCATTTCGATGACTGTGAATCCATAACAGGAGCTAGCACTTTCGAGACATCACGTCGTAAACTTGCTACTTTCTTTCCATCCTACATCACAGCATGTAGATTATTTTTCTGTCGTTGAAGAAAAAACATTTTGCCGACCTCAAGTCTATTACGATAACCATGATGAGACATGCCGACGATGGGAACTTGTTGCATCATTGTTATTTTTGTAATTTTGTCACGTGTGTGGGTGCGTGAATAAATCATATTAATGAGGTCGACCAGAGTTTATTTTCAGTCTGTTTTTTATGTATCGCCATTTGGATATGTTTATGTATTCACAATAGTTTGTAAACATTTCACATCAGTAATAAAAGGTTTATTTGTTTCATAACCCTGTCTGCTATTCTTCAGTAATTACGATGCGATGTATCAATACGTGCGTGCGTGAACAAAATTATGCTAATGAGGTCATCGCCATCTTGGATTACAAGCGGTAGTTTTTCCCGGCAGTTTCGATGGTTACCGGTACGAAAAAAGTAACCGTGCATTGATTACAATACTTACAATACTTTGTAGCCAATTTCAGTGAGTAATACAATTTCATTCACTGACATAAAACAAGTTTTATTCTTGAAATTCGACCCTGTGTCTTAGTGTTCCCACAGTTCTTGACTGCGTGCTCACGTTTATTGAAACCTCGCATAAATCAAGATATAAGTTCGTGTACAAAGTGTACGAAAGCATTCCTTTATTTGACCTTATCATACGATCACAAAAACAATTTTTTAAAATCTTTTTTGGGGTGGTCCTCGGGTAAGCGCCACCCCCAATTTTTCCCGATTTTGTATGTTCAGGCCCCTGGGCGCGTGCTCGGGGTAATACGGTATAAATTTGGTTGTTCAGGATTACTTCAAAGTTGAGTTTGTGTTGTTTTCTAGAATTTTCACCGACTCGACCGGCGTTCCACAGCAGCGCGCACAGAGCCCATAGAAATGCATGGTACAGTGGTGCGCGTCTAAGCAACGTCGAACGTCTTGTGATGTAACTCCGCCCCAAGGATACTATCACTATGGGTTACTTAGCCAAAAAATCCATCCATTAACTTTTAATTAAATGTTGATCCTGAGTAACTTAAACAGGACAGGAAAAAGTTTGATGTACTCATGGCAGGAAATACTTATATCCAGTATTACCAGATATAAAGTGAAGCATAAGGATACTGTAAAATACTTTATTTTTGATAGGAATTTATTTTTGCTATTTTTGCTGAAGGATAGATTCAGTGAAAATAAAATCCAGCAAGTATGACTTTTTTCCTATATTTTACATTTAACCCATCAAAAATCTGTGAAAATATACTCCATATAAAACACCCCAAAAATGTTTTCAGTGAAAATTAATTGCAGCTAAAATATTTTACAGTATATGAATGTGTGTACTGTCTCACCTCAGAGGCTTGTTTTACCATCGCCATCTGACCAGTATGTACTTGTATACCAGATATGAAATTACACAGTACTCTAAGTAGAAACCATCCAGTGAAACTAGAGACAAATTAATATTAGTCACAATCAGGAGATATATATTTGTTATTCAAGATGGTAAACCTCACTCACTCATCGGAGTACTTACGCTATGAGTTTATTTGATATTGATGCCACCATAGTTGATAACAAGTAATAAGCTCTTGATGCGTGCTTCTGTAATGCCATAGGATATTTCTCAGGTTGACTTTCAACATCTATAACACACAACACAGTTTTGTTACGCACATTGACTTGATTTTACTGTTTTGATGACAGTAACACTGTTTATTTTCAAATGTAATATACGAACAAATACATTTATCAAGGCATGATGACATGACAATGTTCCAGTATAATTTCTGAGCTCACAGTTGATCATTTAAAACATTAATGTTGTATTTGAATGCAATGTGTGTATTAAAACACATTTTTATTTTACACCAAAATTTGAATAGGACCACATGACACATGTTTTAAGTATTAAATTTGTAGTTTTATTAGTGATTACAATTCATTTGTTATTTATGTATATTGTAATTCTTATATTTATATTTCTACATGCAGACCCACAATTGAATGTAATTTCTTAAATAACAAATAGATAAATTAAAATTTGTTGATATAATATGTATCATTTTCTGAAATGAATCACCAGTGGTTGTAATGATAGTAAACTAGCTGTTGAATGACAAAGGACTCATAATACTCACCATCAACTTCTGACATTGCACTTTTTTGTATTGCAGCCTGTACTCTGTGTCAATAGAAAAAAAAAATTGTTCAATATTGTCTTCTATTATCCATATAAATCCATGGATATCTAAAAACTACCTATTTGAGGTAGCAATTTCTGATGCTATCATGTAATTTCCATGTGAATGAGTTTAATATCATACAAATATCTGCAAATTGTGTGGTCTAACCATCTCCAAATACACTTCACAGCCCGTTTTATACTCGATAATTAGGGCATTTCACAGCACATACAAGTTGTTTTTATCGCCAGAATTCATTTATAGATCTCACATTTCATGTACAGAGTGATAAAAGCCAGACCTCTGCTACCCTTAACCTGAATATTTCAACTATATAGCAGGAGTTCCAGAATTTACATTTTCACTTTGAATTTGTACATGCAGTTTCTAATCTCTCAAACTTGTCTTTGAAACACACACTCACCAAATGTTCATGAGATGTGAAAACAAATGATAATGATACCAATGCGTCTTTGTAACTGAGTGGCTTACATATTACATTCAAACAGTGAATGTTAATCATTTTGCAGTGAATTACAATGCCTTAGCACTGAAACGAAACTTGACATTTTGGCTTACCTATCTGAGTTGAGTACCGATGTAATAACTTTCTCAGATGGAGGATAATTAAACGAATGTTTGCGTCCATATTCATACGCAACAACAGGAAATCTTCTGCTGATGAATCCACTGTTGAAGAATTAATAGAAAATGAAATCTTTCAGTAAAAATATAAATCAATTGGTAATAGTACAAAATAAGTCATCAAAAGTAAGTTAGCAAAATATATACCATGTTTACTTTTAAAAGCACATTGCTTAAAGAAGAACACATAAACCAAAATTTATTGCATGCTGAATTTAAAAATGAATAATTTTTTTATGATGCTAGGTAAATTCAAGTTTACACAATGTTATGATTGTTTTAATTTCATAGCGTACATATAGATTATTCAACTTAACATTCTATTAATTTCAATGGCTGCTTTGTAAATTTATACTGGTTGTGCATTTATTAGAAAATCTTCTAATTCAAGTTCAACAATACAATCAGCCTAAATCCATTTTAAAAACAAGATCTGCACAATAGCTCACCATTTGCAAACAAAATAACAATATTGATTGTTTGAATGTAACTATTTGAAATTGTAAGTTGAATTTAATATTACTACTTGGATATCAACATTGCTGGTTAGGTTGCTTTTTTTCATTCACTATAAAATTTGCTGGGCATTACCACACACTGTTTCTGTGTATGGATTGAACTGCGATACATACATCATGACAGAAACACACTCTCTCGGTAAATTTCCAATAATTAGTAGTTATTGATATGACTGACTCCACACAAAAAATAGCTTGACATGCTAATCACATCCTGTTTACAAGATGGCTGTCACATGATAGACATGTGACCCTAATCGCATCCTGTTTACAAGATGGCTGTCACATGATAGACATGTGACCCTAATCGCATCCTGTTTACAAGATGGCTGTCACATGGTAGACATGTGACCCTAATCGCATCCTGTTTACAAGATGGCTGTCACATGATAGACATGTGACCCTAATCACATGCTGTTTACAAGATGGCTGTCACATGGTAGACACGTGACCCTAATCGCATACTGTTTACAAGATGGCTGTCACATGGTAGACATGTGACCCTAATCGCATCCTGTTTACAAGATGGCTGTCACATGATAGACATGTGACCCTAATCACATCCTGTTTACAAGATGGCTGTCACATGGTAGACATGTGACCCTAATTGCATACTGTTTACAAGATGGCTGTCACATGGTAGACACGTGACCCTAATTGCATACTGTTTACAAGATGGCTGTCACATGGTAGACATGTGACCCTAATCGCATACTTTTTACGAATCCCCTCTTCCCAAGATTTCTGGTAACATTAAATTCCGGTGTTTATATAAACAAGTTGACTGTAGGATATCTTACAAATACTACCATATTATCAGTTTCATAATTTTTTTCAAGAACACACAGGCAAGGGAACAGGGGCGCAGCGCCCTCGAGCGATGGCGATGCGCCCCTTTACCCTAGGGAGCAGAGATCCTCTGGCAACCATAAAATTCTGATTGACCAGTGATCACATGCGGCCAGTCTTCAACTGTGAACTGTCTGATAGTAATTTTGGTCCTTAGGAAGCAATAGAATGCTCCATTTTAACATAGAATTGCCAAAAAATTCCACACCCTGGTAGGGAGAACCCTACTCCCCTCTTAGTGACGCCGCTGAATTGCAGTGCTCCCTCTTGCAGTTCTTTTCTAGAAAAAACCCTGACACACATGTTTCAGGCATTGCAGGGTGAGAGCTATGACTTGTATAACTCATTGATATAGAGGAAATATGCAAAGGTCAAATAATTAAAATCACTGAATATCAACAGGTCACATCTGTTTATTTAATTTGATTTTCATAGCAAATATCTCTTGAGATAAATTATTTACTAATTGTGAATGATGAATGTTTATGTTTAAGTTGATCACCTTTGCTGCTGATGACAACATGGTGACCATGGTGACAACATCTGTGACATATGTTATCATGTGATTCTGAACATGTGATGGTATGTTTATAAACAATGTAACACATGCTATTACGCATCACAACAGTCAATCATAGAATTATGATTAATTTCCAAAAACCCGTTATGTTTGGTAAAACAGTTACGGGTCGATAATTTAATTCTCATTCAGACATAGAAATATATTCAAGCTTATTGTTGAGAAAAATATTTGGCTGAATTTTGGGGCAAAAATATGTTATAATGAGCACCAAAATAAACCGATCAGGAAATTTGCTATCTCCCTATCAAACTTTCTTGCAGCATTGCAATATTCCTAGGAATATTGCCAGCAGTGTTTGTTATGATTTCAGTATTTTCAATCTCAATAAGGTCCAGGACACAAACATTTGATATTCAAATAAATGTTCATAATTTTCCAATGGTTGAAGACTGGCAGTGCTCCAAGGAATATTGCATTGTGGCAAGGACGACTGATTGTTTATTTCAGTGCTCACAGAGTTCACAGAGATGAACTCAATGATAACAGTATAAGTTCATACTACAAATCAGGTCATATTTAATTGTCATTGAGTATTTACCAGGTGGGGATAAACAACTCTAGCTCAGTAGTGTTGACCAGCCTGGAGGATTATTTTTCAAAATTTGAATTATTAAGTAACTATCGATTTTTTAATACAATTTTCTTGTGTCATTTGTATCGATTTGTAAGCGCTATTGCCAAAATGTGGACACTGAAATTTTGAACATTAAGATGGTTGTGAAAAAAGATGGTTGTGGAGTTGCATCCAGGTCTCCAGAGGGCACCATCTTGTTGAAATCCAGTTTTGTCAAGCAAACCTTAAGAAATGTTGGTACAAAATAACAACTTAACAGGGATCTGGGTGAAATCATGTCAAATACAATGCCATTTTGAGAGGCTACTGCCAGTCTTACACTGATAATTTTATGTGTCACTACCCATAAAAGTGTTTGTCTTGCTACATAATTATCTATGGTCCCCATCACATGGCAACTACTGGACCATTTTCACATGCTATGTGATATCCTTGTGTAGGTTCATTTTAGTCAATGCATTTGTATCGAAAACAATATTTTGGTGCAATCTTGACATATCTATACGGTTACATTTAAACAATATAAAAATCTTCACAGCTTTCAACCAACTAGATAACAAATTAAGAAAGATCAGAGATAGCAGATCCCCTGACATTGTTTCATAAGGAATAGATAGAGGTCACTGTTTTGATTAGAGGACTGTGGTACCAGCTACAGTAATTAGATATACATGTAGATAAGAGTAATAGGCATATCAATTTGGGAGTAGGTGTAGGTAAAAATACAATGTTGGTTTATTGTATCTACCGTGAATAGGGATTAAATGAATGGAGCTATATTTTGATACTGAGCTGTTACAACAATGAAAGATGTTACCGGTATGTCAAAGGTCAAAGACAAAGAAAATCATTCCACATTGGGAATATGCATAAGATCTTAGAAAGAACTCCTGTGTGCTGAGAGAGTATTGGAGACACATTATACAACAAGTCATTGATCAAAGAAAGCTTAGAAAGAACTCCCATGTGCTGAGAGTATTGGAGACACATTAAATATAATTCGAAATTACTTAGCTGAAAACTAATTATGCAAATCAGAAAATTAATATGACCAGATTTGAGTGTAAAACTAATGAGGTCTGCGCAATGTAACAGAAAATCTATGTCTCCAAGTTTAATTGAAATGTGATTAGAACCAAAAAATTATGAATTATTATGCTTATTAGGGAATTAATATGAACAGATTTTTACCCCAAACTAATTAGGTTTGTACATTGTCCTAGAGCATTTTTGTACTAAGTTTCATTGAAATGGAATAATTAGTACCGTGAAAACTCCAAAATTTCGACCCCTCTAAAAATTCGAT